TTTTCTATTCCCAATTCACTTAGTCCGCCCCGACGTAAACTTATGATAAAGACAGAGACTCCATTGGATTGGATATCTACAACTTCAAATCTCTCATACCAACTATCACATTTAATATTGAGGTTCAGTCTTTGCTGCATATACGTAAGTAGGCAAATCGCTGCATGGAGTTGGTCGTAACTTCTTGCTGTACTAGACACACACTGAGTGGACTTGGGCCAATATTTCGTAGGAAAAGTAACGTCACCTGGACTATGCTATTGATAGTAGCATGCTTGTCAGAGTAGCTGTTGACCCGAGAACTGTCGTAAATGCTACAGAGTGGGTGCCTCTTTTCAATATTTCGGTGACAGCTACAACGGTATGGCTTTCCTTGGCCACTGTGGAGACAGTAACGTAAAGATTTCACGTAAGTATCTAGAAACGTTCAGAACAGTTTTCGTTATTAGACCATTAAGCTAAAGTGATATTCAGTGGACAAAATTCCAGCATTGCGACTGGTAAATCGGCACATCGACCTCGTACAATTTCTTGGTGTAGAACTGCGTGACGTATGCATCAACGCCCAAGTGGAAAGTGCTAGCAAACCAAGCGCCATTCTTGCACTGATCCTCAGTAGGCTTTGCAAAGGTAACACCAGTGGAGCTGGTGTAAGCGAAGTCAAAGTCCGCCGCAAATACGTTGACGACCTGAGGCTTCGCCTCGACTCCAGCAGACATGTCTAGGAGACCGTTGAAAAGCTTGACCCCCAGGGCAACGGTCAGGTCAGCAAACGGATTTAGCTGAAGCTCAACTTGAGCAGTGATACCCGTGGTGACGTTGGTCTGCGGCTTCCAGCCTGTTGTAGAGGTCTTGGCGGAGTCCAAAAAGTCAAGATGAACTTGAGCATCGGTAATAGTTGAGACAACGTCCACAGACGCCTTTACAACACCGGATGCAGCAAATTCGATGCCGAGACCGAAGTTCACCATGGGGCCGACATCGATGATGCCGGGAATAGTGAAGGCTGAAACAGATACGGAAAGAGGGTTGTAGTTGTACAAGTTGGTCGAATACTGGGCGTTGACTGCAGCAGAGATATTGAGGTTCAAAGCAGACGAGTAGTCTACATCAATGTAGAACTCGTCAACCTTGAACTTCCGAAAGCTGTAGTGAACATGGCCGGCCAAGGTGACTGTGCTTTCCAGCTTGGCTTCATTGGCGACAATATTCAAGGCGTCCGTCGCAACGAGCGTGGAGCCAGAAAGGTCTGCGGAAATGGTTCCGGAGAGATCACGCTTGGTCGTAGCAGTGCCGGTGTGCTGGAAATCGATGACTGCGTCATTCATCTGATCACTGATCTCTGCTTTGGTAGACGAAGCAGTAAGAGTCAAGGTGGCATTGTCAAAGGTGTAGTTCTGGACCACATAGACACCGCGCTCGTGCTCGCTGTCGCAAGTCCCATTGTGGTTCGTGATGATGATGAAGTCCTTTGCTGGCCATGTGCTCAAGCATGTGTTGTAGTCTTCGGTAACGCTAAATTTGAGAACAAGTCCAGCAGTCGAGCACTCAACATCGGTGATTGTCTCGATGTTCTCTAACAAGACGGCAGGTTGCTTCATCATAGCCCGGACGAGGGCGTTGGTAGCGTTGAGCCCTTCATAGGGCAAGGTGACGTTGGTCTTCGGGGTGAATTTGGCTGGTCCAAGGGGTGTAGATGGGATGGAGGCCTGTCGCTTCTGGACTGGTCGAAGAATGGCCTTTTCCGGCAAAGCAGCGGCTATGCTAGAGCCGACCAGTGCCTGAAAGGCCAAAAGAGTGGAAAACGAGAGTCTCATGATTGAGTACAGTGAGCGACTGAAAATGAGAGAGCCTACGGAGTTTGAACGAGTGAGATCCGAGGTAGTCGTAACTAAGATAGAAGACTTTGCTGTTTCGCAATGTAAAGTGATACTTCTGACCAGGCTAAGTCACGCACTTTATATGCAATGATCGATCTGCTCAAAGACTGTTCAAGGCGCACTTCACGAAGCATCTCGAGAACCCCTTGGAGACCCTTGAGATCCTTGGGCTAAAAAAGGATCAGAGTCCACTTCGACCATCGTGAACTAGGGCTCGGAACATCGCCGCAGAGTGACAGTTGAGCTCAGCCGCGCCTTGTGGGACCGCGATATTGAACAGGTGTGTTTATAAGCGCGAGCCAAAAATCGAATCCACCGCTTTCGCCCAAAGATGTTAATTGTTGTCCGGGGTATGCCCTGTTGACTTGACGATGTCGAATGTTGACAATGCCGTCGGCAAGAGAAAGTAGTCCATGTTCACAGAGCTGCGAGATAATAAAGGTGTTGTTTGTAAAGTGTCGCAAATCTCAACGCTGCGATTCCTCATCGTTTGGTTTCTGGGGATCCCCATATCTTCAAAAGCTCTCTGCCCAAAGTATCGCTTGTTAGTAGACGGAGAGATTGATTGAGGCTTTGAGTTTTGCGATTCAGTCGGTCGAGGCTCCAAAGTGCTTAATACTCAAAAAAGTGGATGAACACTCGGAGCTCGCTCTCGGCATTCGAACCCAAGTAGTTCTCAAGCTGGGGACGTCGCGGAGAAGGCCCCCAATTCGGCTACATCCGATCTACCACGAGTCAGGAAATAAAGCCAAGTTCCTAGCACATTTCATCCCGAAGTCAGTGTTTCACTGAAAATTGTTCCCTCATGGCTTCGCGCGATCTCTATTCACGCAGTAAAGTTTCATCTCTGCTGAAAGCTATTCCCATGACGTTTGTCGCTGCACTAGCCCTTCGAACCTGTGAAAGACTCTTTCTTGGAGCATAAGCATCGTCATAAACTTTTCTCAAAGATGGCATGTTATGGCCTGTCGTCGGTGTGACCGAGACTCGAAGACAAGGGTGCTACCTTCGTTCCAAGGTTGATGTCCCAATTTGGCTGGCCCCTTTCTTTCTCACCCCATACCAGGCTAGAATTTCTGCTTCCAGCGACAGTCTCCCCTTGTTTTAGCCCCTGGAGAACTGGAGGGCTGAGCTTATTTCGATGGATGACCAGAAAGTGATCCGTGTTGCTTGCTATCGAAGAGCCCTAAGCCTGGCTTGGGTCTCATTATTTGATAGAACTCCTCCAAATTATCAAGTAAGTCTGAAAGCAAAGCTTCGCGCGGGCTCCGAGTGGTCAGTCAGGTCTCAGTCGTCCTAACCCAAACAAGGCAAGACTTTTGTTAGCAGTGGTGGGATTGAGTGCCGTCATTCGAGCCGAGAGACCGTGATGTTAGATAAAATGCAGCCGTTACTCAAGATGCTGGTTTTGTGACCAAGAGCAAGGTTCCTGTCGAGTGACTTGATTCCAAGGTTAACCGTCTTCAACAACCCTCTAAACCTGCCTCTGTAACAACGGTGCCTCCCTCTGTGATTTTGACAGTTTCATTGCCTCGGTTTAATCTCAGTCTATTTAATAAAGAGAGCATTCAGTGCTTTGATTTATATGCTGAGTCATCAAGCTGGATGGAGATGACTGATTGTTTTACCGAGTAATTATTAATTTTCCAGATGTCGACAACGATGAACACGGTGTCAAATAATAGACTTACTGCTTCGGAGTAGAATCATGCGACTTGATGACCTCTATTCTCTCCAACCCAGCGTGGTAACGATGGGCCGCGACAAAAGTCCCAGATTTTGGTTCGTTCTTGAAACAAGAATCTGACAGCTTGCCACTTCCGTTCAAGTCTCGATCCTTCGGCTGTCAAAAGCATGACTATTGACTCCTGTGTCATAATGTTGTTAGATGACGCGATGTGACTCGATACATAATGCACATAATCGAGACCTGATTTATAAGCGGGATGATCCCCTCACGGTGTACAAAAGGCCAAGCAGAACTCCGGTCTCTCACATGCTTCAAGAGACCGTCTTTAGCACTCAAAGAAGTTTCGTCGGTAAGAACATGGTGAGCCTCTCCGTAGTTCAACTTAGTGACGGGGCTAAAGTCCAGGTCAAACTCCTCGGCGACAGCGACGAAAACAAACCTCTCATCATAGTCTTGCATGGCGCGCCTGGTTTATCCGACCATAGAGAACCGATTTCATCGTTCGGCTTTTTAGCCTCCGATTTTCGAGTTTTGGTGTATGATGCGAGAGGCAGCGGCAAAAGCGAACTGAGGCCGCCTTACACTGATGAACGTTGGGTGGCTGATATAGACGAGTTGAGGTAAGGACTGAACTGTTGCTTATCGCGTTGATGGCGGCTCGACTAACATATTAGTTCAGATCCTGGGCGGGTGCAGATAAATTTGTTCTAGCCGGAGGTTCCTACGGAGGCTTTGTGGCCTTGCAGTATGCTCTTTTACATCCTGATCGTCTCCTGGCTCTCATCCTGAGAGACACATGGGCATGCGGCCTTCGTGGGGCCTTCAACTTCATCAAGACTATCCTCATCAGCGACCGAATCACACCAGACCCAGATAGGCAGGTCCGACTCAACAGCGGCAACATTCGAGACAACGAAGACTTTGCTGCTGCCTTTGCAGAGATTGTTGAGATCTACAAGCCAAAAGACGATTCCGCGAGTGTTGGCTCGAGAGACACAACCTTTGAGGGAAACGATGCACACGAGCACCTGCACTACGAGACGCACAATTTTGCCTTCTCTTACAACCTTCCGCGGCTTGATGTGCGGTCACAACTGAAGGATATCACTGCACCAACACTCGTTGCGACCGGGAGGCATGACGTTGTGGTACCTGTTGAATATGGAGAAGAAATCAGCAGAGGTATCCCAAATAGCGAGCTCGCAATCTTTGAGAAGTCCGGTCACAGTCCGCCAACCGATGAGCCGGAAGCCTTCCGTGAGACGGTCTCCAATTTTCTCTCAAGACGGGTCAAGTAAAATTCTAGATGGCTGCACGCGAATTGAAGTCAAGAGAGATCATAATTCGTGGCTAGAACATTTTTGTTGTTGGTATAACTCTCCGAATACTCGACTCTAGTCATAAACTCTCTTCGAAAACCCAACTTAGGTCTATAATGTGTCCTTCACAAGCCTGCCCTGCACGTACACTTGAGCAATATTACGATCATCTCCAGTCATCAAAAACTTCTCAAACACTGTCCGAAGGCTGTCTGTCTCTTCTCGGACTGTCATGACCCCAAATGCTTCATCAAGGGAGCTTGTAACCAGTATCGCGTCAAACGCTTTGCCGATGGCGAAGTTTCCAACCTTGTCTTCGAGACAACACACCTGAGCTCCACCGAGAGTCGAAAGGTAGAAAACCTCGTCTAGAGACAGCGCCTTGTCTTTGCCGCCTGACATGACCTCGCGTGCGTTGGAAGCTATGATTGCCTGACGGACGCTGTCGAGCATGCTTGACGAAAATCCGCCACCGCTGTCGGTTCCAAGGCCAACCTTGATCCCCTTGGTCAGAAACTGACGTATGGAGGCAGCCATGAAGCCTCCTCCAACTGTCATGTTCGAAATGGGGCAGTGTGCAACACCGCACTGAAGCTCCTTGACCCTGTCCATCTCGTAGTCTGTCATGAAGGTGCAATGTGCAAGAATTGAACGCTGGTTCAGGAGACCATAGTGTTGGTAGAGGTCTGCCTCGCTGGAAAACTGTGGGAACAGCTCTCTTGTCGCCTTGATCTCCTGCTCGGCTTCATTGAAATGCGTTTGAATCGCTAGCTCTGGGTCTTGGGATGCCATCTGACCCAGACCTTCGAGCAAGTCGGGGGTGCAACAAATAGCGAATCTGGGAGTCAAGACAGGGCGAATCAGCTGTCCGGTCGGGTCAATCTGTCGAATGTGTTTGACGCATTCCTCCGTTTCCTTCAGAGACGATTCAGCTGATTCATCATGGAGGTAGCTTGGAGCGTTACGATCCATGTTACACTTTCCTACGAAGGCCCGCTGGTTCAGCTTATGGCAGATGTCGGCCAAAATCTTTGTTGCCTCGGCGTGTTTTGACCCGTAGTAGGAAGCGGTCGTAATGCCTTGCTTGAGGAAGCCCTTAACGCAGCTCTCGTAGACCTTGCGGGCGTATGTAGGGTCGGAGAAGCGAGCTTCGTGGGGAAATGTGACTTGATCAAGCCAGTCCAGGATATGAAGGCCCTGCCCTTGGCCTCTCATTGCCCATTGCGGAGCGTGGTTGTGCGTGTCGATGAAACCAGGGGATATGAATTGGCCTTTGGCAAGAACCTTGACTTTTTGATCGCCGGGCAGCTTTGCGGACAGCTCTTCGATGGATATTTGGGTGTAGAACTCAGAAATTAGTCCATCAGATCCAACAATGATTCCGGCGCTGTCAAGTATCTCAACTTGGTTTGGGCCAAGCGAGTGGATGACGGCTCCATGGAATGCTGACGCCATGCTGAAGATGTGTTTCTCTTATGTGTTTGAGGTCCTTAAAATAGAGCGCTTGGCAGATTCTGTAGAGTCTGTCGGCTCAAGAGCCTATTCTAGGCAATATCTTATTGAGAGTGATGTGGTGATGGTATCGAATCTGATGAAATTCGAGGGCCAGCAATGTGAGGGGATTCGGTGCACTCATAGTACGTACCGTTGTTCCTTCCGAGATAAGAACGGACTTATCTTATCGCATCGCTGATAAGGAATTCTCGGCTGAGTTCGGGTGAGTTTACGCCTTTCAACATCTCGTCTCGTATCTTTGTCTCATTTCTTGACGTACATGACGAGCCCGGAAAGTAAACAACACCAACATTACCCTTGAGTTCCTGTTGTTCGATTTCCATTCCAGGCTCGTGGCTGGAGAGAACATCTCTGTCGCCACTAACGTGGCCTCGGCCCAGACCGCTGCTCGACGCGTCCAAATGTGGAGTGATCTCTATCAAGAAATCCAGATATGTCGTCTAATACTCCGTCTTCATATCGCATGACACAGCGCGCCCCACGAAGTTGTCGATCCTGCGCTACTCGTAAGGTCAAGTGCGATAAAAGATTACCGTGCTCAACTTGCATTCGCCAGGGTATGCCTGAAACATGCTCACGAGAGCTCGTGATGGTGCGGGGTGAAGTTACAAGGTCGCTTCTCAATCTGGGGCATATTCTCTCTAATAAGCTGACTGGTGTTTGAATCATAGAGGGAAAGATCCAGTCAAGTTGCCGACATATGATGAGCTGGTTCAGGAAAATCGGCGACTAAGGACAGCTCTTGAAGCCTCTCAGGTCCGCTCCGCTTCTGATTTATCGTTTCGAAAGCCGAGGACTGCGCAAAACTTGTTGGAGTGCCATGACCCGCTGGAGGAAATGGTCTTCAAGTCTCCATCATCTTCACAGGTGTCTCGACATCGCCGAGGATGGAGTACGGTTGACGTACCCTGCCGAAAGTCTAGCGAGCTGCTAATCGCTTATGACAAGAAGTGGAATTCCTGGGTCCACTATGCCCTTGAATATCCCGAGTTTGATCAAGAACATACTCAGTTTATGGATAATTTAGAAAAGGGCACTGTCTTGTCTGATTGCGATCCTGGTTGGTTATCAGTGTATTTCAGTGTCATCACGGTCAGTCCCTACGTGAACCAATCTTTCCGAGGTCACAGCACTGATCTGACTGCCTCTAGTAGGCTGCCCTATTGATGATGGATGACAAGGAAGCTCGGGAGATACTTCCTGCAGGTGAAGCCATGCCCGCCTTCTCAACTTTATGCGCCTACGTCTGACTGTGTCCGTCGGCACTCAGGAGACATTGGAAGTATGCTACAACAGTGGTACAAGACTGCCTTGTTCTGTCTCGAAGAAGCAGATTATATGAGAAGTAGCACAATTCGCCCTGTTCAGGCGATTGCAGTACTTGGCATGTGCTTCCACAATTTCGGAGATTCTGATCTATACCGTCATCTCTGGAGCTGCGCAATACGAATCGCACGGAATCTCGGGCTGGACGGCACTCAAGCTCCACGTCCCGCTATGGAACTGGGCCTCGAAGCTCAAAGGCGTCTATGGTGGACCTTGATCATTTGTGAATGGTAGGTCTTCGTTCAGAAGTGAGGTGAGAGAGGCAGTGCTCATTCTCGACATAGGCTTGCGGTCCCTTACTATGTGCCTCAAGTAGACGAAGGAGACTTCAATGTTCCACTGCCTTCGGCAGAATCTGATCACGAAGGTCCCCACCCAGTGCTGTATCACATATTCATGGCACGAACCTCGACTGTCTATCATAGATTTAGATCAGCACTGCGGGAGGGCATGCGATCAGTGGCTGAAGTTGTTCGCCTAGCTGATGATGAACTAGCAGAGGTCATCAACACCTTGCCCAACCATCTCCAACCCGATAGTGGCAAAACCGAAGAAATGCAGGAGCTAGAGCTAACCCACCCCTGGATCAAATGGCAACGTTTCGACATCAGTCTCGTGCTTCTGCACCATCGTATGCGCATCAACCGTTCATTACAGAAGGAATGGCTAGTAGTTCCCGGTCTGTATGATTGGGCACGGGCAGTGTGTATTCGTTCTGCTATGGATATCATCTGGATTACCCATAACTGGGATCAGCCAGTCGCAATGCGACGACAGTGGTCAGTCTACGAATATCGTAATGCCCGGAGAGGCTCTAACTCGCTTTGAAGGGCTTTGTCGATGCACATCTTCGTTGCTGCCATCTTTCTTCTCAGAGAATCCCAAAGAGCAAAAGCCGGGGCTGAAGTTGACTTTACGGACGAGGTGCAACTCGCCATTGAATACCTGGACGAGGTCAAATCACGCAACGCCATAGCAGAGACGGCAGTTGCCATCCTCAGGTCTTCACTACATGAGGCTAACATGGAGTTACAGTGAGAATCATAGAAATAAGTAGTATTTTTCTTGTCTTGTCTTCTGGCTGGCCCCATGGACTTCACAACCCAAAACCAAACGCACGCTTTGCCTCAGCACTCAGATCCTGCAGTCCCACGTATCCCCTGAGTGTCCTTTCATCCAAGTCATTTCCTTCTTGCTGGTCTGGCGGTGGCCTCCCAGCAAGAGTCTCGGACAATTGCTTCTTCACATATGTCTTGTTGTTTGTAGTCGTGGGGCATGCGGCAATGTATAAGACAGATGCGTTCTGTGATCCCTCGTGCACCGGATCAACTGCATGGCAGACCTGCATAAACACGATTAGCGGCTGCTGAATCTAAAACACATCAAAACTTACATCAGCATGCCACCAGACAGTGTCGCCCGGCTCCATCTTCGGTACATGAATTAGGCACTCTGATAGTCTCAGATGTGGATGCGATGAGCGACTAAGCCGCTGGCTCTGGGTCTTGAACGTTCCAGGAAAAAAGCCGGAGTCATCGAGAGTCCACTTGGTCGCATCCATCATATCCGCAGAGTCGACAGGAGGCCTGAAAAACGGTCTCAGCACCATGTATGCAATGACAGTAGCCACGTTGGGGTAGACGAGCAGCGTTCCCTCGCTTGGGGCAGTCCGTGTCAAGGCAGTCCACCCCTGGAATGAGCGGAAGACCGATGAATGAGCAACGCCTGGATACAACTCTTGGTTCGCGACTTTTCTTAGGCTGAGGTCGTATGGATCGTGTAGCTCAGGTTTTCCGGAAAAGATGCTGCCGTACACCTCTCTGTATGCTGCATCTGCCCATCGAGCTAGGCTCCCGGCGTCAATGTGCGGCCCGAGTCCGAGGAATTCTTGTCGCGGAGGTCTATCTCGTACTCCATCATAGTACACTAAAGGGTCTGGCGAAGTATCTTCACCACTTTCATCGTGCCAAAGCTGGTTGAGGAGGCGTTGAAGTTGAAGGTGGTTTGGGTGCGATCTTATGGCGTTCTGAGTGGGTGAATCGTACAGCATCAGCATCGAGGGAGTCTCTTTTGGCCATCCCTGGATCTTCTGCTTATTTTCGGCGACGTAGTTTTTAAGATCTGCGTAGTGTTGAACTATTTCGGTCTTGGGAACGACCCCACGAATGACAAATGTGCCGACTCTCTTCACCTCATCCCTTTCGGCTTCCGTAAGACCCTTGTCGAGCAGCATGTGGGCGTCGAAAACTGGAATGATGCTTCGACCCTTGTCGACTATCTCATCCGTGACCGACTTGAGCTGTTCACAGACTCGAACCCAGCTTTCTCTCAACGCCTCGGCGCCATACTGGGATATGATTGCCCTCTTAGTGTCAAGAAAGTCGGGATCTTTTGGTTCAAGGGGATCCTTGTCGGTGTATTCCGGCCACGCGGGCCACTCTCGGACGCTTCCGGGCATCTTTGAAAGGAATCTTGTGCTGCTTCAGATTTCTGATGAGCTGGGTTTTGAATATGTTAGCGGCCAAAAGCATGAGAAATGCCATCTTAAGTAGCTTATCATTCACCGCCCGTCATCCCGCATTTTCGATGCGATCTTCCATGCCCCAAGACGGCCCATGTCAAGTCGCGCTGGCGGCCTAGCCGATAATTCAGTCTGTCAAGACCCGCCCGAGCTCGCCCGAGTGAATAAGCTCGTATGAAAGGTGACATTTCCCCGCGATGACAATCTGGGATAGTAACTCTGTGCCAGCCGGTAGTTACCAAGTGGGCCACGATAGGCTCGCCCGAACTCACCCGAGGCCTCGAGACAGCCAATCAACTTGAGCAGATCACAAATCACCACGACTCACAATTGATGGGATATAAGGGCGATCAAGAAGCCATGCGACAATAGAAAATGATAATGAAGAGAAGTCAGGCAATTCATTTCCAAAGACACTCATTAGCAACATGGGTTTTGAGCGTAAACATGTCTCCAGGTTGGTACCGGCCAACTTGAAGGTGTTGTCTCCTTTGCTTCTGGCTGTAGCCATTGTTAACTCGGCAGTAAGTACAGTTCCCCAAAAACTGAAGCATCTTACTAACCAGGAGATGAAAGACTCTAGGATACGATGCCTCAGTCATGAACGGCCTCCTTATCCTCCCCTCGTACACCGAATACTTCCACTTGACCCCTGCATTGGAAGGTCTCAACAACGCTGCATCATGGATGGGAGGCATTCTGGGCGCCTTTTTGATGCAGCCGGTGCCAGATTACTTTGGACGTCGAAGAGCTATCCTCGTCGCATCCGTCATCACAGTAATCGGCATCATTCTCCAAGCCGCCGCGCAAAACATTGCCATGTTCGTCATCGCTCGAATCATCGTTGGCATCGGCTCTGCAATCAGCAACGGCGCTGCTCCCACTCTGCTCGGAGAACTTCTGCCAGCTCGCAAGCGCGGCCGAATTCTCGGTCTGTTCTTTTCCTGTTTCTACGTGGGAAGCTTGGCCTCAGCCATTGTCAACTACGGCAGCCAAAACATCCAGAGCACTTGGTCTTGGCGTCTTCCCTCTCTTCTTCAGTTCGTGCCAAGCTTGTTGGCAGTGATACTGGTGCCATTCGTTCCGGAGTCCC